AATCACATTGACGTACGTTACCATTTCGAGAACCACCTCATCGAACAATAGACTTATGTCTTGTTTCCACCGATACACGACCCCAGGTCGCGGATATCAATACCCAAGATGGCACAATGTTCTGCGCTCTGCGTAGTCAACTAACGGGTGTGACTGCTGTCGTCCTTCAGCACCCTCAGGCGAAAGCCAGGGAGCACGAACTCCGGCCTCTCAGCCCGTGACTGAGTCGACGTGCCAGGGGGACGCCCTGAAGCATGTTGGCTCGACATCGGGGGGTAACGGCATCCCGGTCGTTACTCGATCCATCCGGCCCTTTCACGGCATGTCGTTCGGTAAGGGCCAATTGGTAGAGACCTGCTGAAAGGGATGTCCGACGAGTTGAGTCCAGACGACGGTGTAACCAGTGGTGGTTATGCTCACTGAGCTTAACCGCCAGCCTCTTGCTGCACCTGATTACGGTTGACAGTGCGTGGCGCTGTTGGGAGGCAGTCAGAATACCCTGTTCTGTTAGAGAACATCCCCACTGCCCTGTCAGTCAGGTAGCAGCATTCTGCTAGCTGTGTAGGAGGTTTTTGTGCCTTTTAGAGGCTTTTCCTCAGGTAGAAGACAGCGCAGACATTTGTCACGAAACATCACAGATGTCGTGGCCAATCATAGTGCAGTCTGATTGGCTGTTTTTCTCTCCCGTCAGAACTATTATACTTTCAGTTCTTCCTCCATCCACACACTTGTCTGCTGCTGCTTCCTGCCCTCTCCACTTGATCTCAGTGCAATCACACAATGCCAGCACCTACCAAGCGACTGACGCTCATTCAAAAAGCAGAGTACGAGCATATTACAGCTGCTCTTCCGACCGCACGTTATCGATTACATGTACGTGGATCACACAGGAGGTCGGCGTCATCGTGCATCCCACTACTGTTGGTCGCATTGTTCGGGATGATCGCACCAGCTCAGCAGCAAACATTGATGCAGACGTCACTGCGTCGCGCTGCAACATCAAGGGACCAAAGCTAACTGAGCTTGACACTGAGTTGGCGGCTTGGGTACAAAATTCTCTCCGTAAGTTGCGTATTGGCGATCCCATGTCATTCGATGTACTTTTGAGTTAATAATGAAAGTACAATCTGTTTACTCCTCAAGTACTTGTTTATATCAGTAAATACCGGGTATAACAGAACGTGGAGGTTAAATGCTCTTTGAAAACTAACAAGCTCTAACATAGCGTGGCCAAATAACCTATAATTGCCTTATTCAGTCAGGTATTTAGCCGAGGAACGGGTAGGAAAACCTCCTAATATGCATAACCCTTGGCGCTGATACCTCTATCTTATTATATTCCGACCAGGCTGCAAAAATCAGGGGATCACTGTACGTACAGTTAGTACCTGTTTCGGACTGTCTGGGTCAAACTGATTTCGAAAGAAAATCTACGATTCTCAGTTATTATACGTATATTGCAACTTATAGAAAAAAGAATCCCTCGAACCCTCTACGTTCAAAACACCCATACTACATGTATACCTTTAGTGGGGGAATTCCTTAGATAAGACTAATCTTCGATATTTTGGTAATTTCTAAGAAATCGGCAAAAAATGAAAAATTATCTGTCTGGATCCAAAGTTTGGAGATTTCAATACGGAGTATCTTACCAAATTTCGCGTTTTTCGCCAAAAAATAGAAAAGATATACCTGCTGTGGGGGCGTTACTGTACTCTCTAGACTCACCCTAATTGTAGATTTATAAAAATTATGTCCGTCGACAGTGCATGCATTAACAGCAAAGTGTTGTTGTTTGCTTGAAATCCATCACATGCTAAATAGGATAGTATACTTGGGGTGTGAACCGAGACTGCACCATTCGTTCGATACGAAGTACTAGTATATACATTGATTGAGGGGTGGATTATAAAGGTTTTACAGGACTTGGATGTTATCACGTGTTGTCGACTGCTGTGACGATACCACGACAGTCTGGTGCTGTTCGGGCGCCTGTTCCTTCAATCGACGGGCATACAGGGCAAATACAATGAGCCCCAGCACAATGATAACCGCCACCACGGAGAGCACCACCACTGTCAGCAGAAGCTGGCCGCCATCACCCAATGTTGCTGGCGTCGACAGTGGTTTTTCGCGGAGATGAGTAGCATTGGTGGTGTTGATGGTGTTGATGGCATTGGTGGCGTTGTTGGCATTGGTGGCGTTGATGGCAATGTTATGGCTACGGGGTGCTGAGGTGGTCGCAGGGACGATCGATGTCACAGGTGCCACGGAAGAGAAATCATCATCGCCTGGCGCGACGCCGTTGTTCGTGTCGCAGGTCGAGCCGGCCCAACCGAGGTCGCACACGCACGAGAAGGACGAGGGTCCGCTGGAGCGACAGCTGCCTCGACCATTGCACGTTCGTCCCTTGGAGACGCATGCACTGGAGCAGACATGTTGATCGCCGCCGGGAGTTAACGCGACGGCGGTGTCACATTTGGCGACCGAGAGGCACTTGAAGATACCCACCGATTCGTTGAACGGATGACAGCGACCAAAGGTGCACTCGGATGGATCCTGCTGCACCCACGTGCACACCAATGACCCTTCCTCGACGAAACCAGGGCAGTTGCCGGGTATATTGCCGCCGCAAACTTGGTCCGCGACACACGTTTGCACGCTCTCCGCCGCGTCACCCGCCACGCAGGAACTTCCTATGGGACAATCGGATGTACCCAAGCAAGTAGTTCCCATGGGATGCAGCGCTTGGACGCTGTAGATGCATAAGGCACTGACCACAGCAAGCCATCGATGGTCCATGGTTCTGCGTTGCTCAGTACTACAGTACTAATGCTCTTCTATCCGGATTCCAGACATTTTTTTATAAGTAATATGTATCCGGATTCCGGATATGATGACGTATTTTTTCGAGTACAGTAACGCATTTTTCGAGCGCAAATAGAGAAATTAACTGTTAACCTTATACTATTATTAATAATACTACGGAGTATTAATAGTACTATTAATACGTAGTTCTACAGTACCAGTACCGGTACGTAGTAAGCCCTAGCGTTAACAGTAAAGCACCGGTAACATTGCACTGTAGCGTTAGCTGACGAAATGGTTTGTAGCTCTCTCCATGGCCCTTCGTTCTGTCAGTCATATACTGTATGTACATCCTTCAGTTTGTTTATACGTGTACTAGTATAACATAAGTTTTATGCTGGCACGACTTTGATTTCTAAATTACTACCTCCAGTCGGAAATAAACCAGCCATTTGGTGAAAATTGGTAAAATTGGTGTTTTGTTTGATGGTGTTATCTGATTTTGCCCTAAGTATGCTTGTTGTATACGTCTTAGTATGGCCAGTATCCCTGTGGAATATAATACCTTAAACATGAATACCCTAATGGATAAGTGGGTTCTACGCTATGAGTGTTGGTGGCTTACATGCATGCTACCTGCATCAACCAATAGTCAGCAACATTTTTAAACTATGTTTTGTACAGAATATAAATTACTGCAGGTGTATAATATAATCAGTATCAAATCGTGACAGATATCCGGATACATGTTTTCGGTCTCTATAACATAATTTATTCCGGTAAATTCTGAAAAAACCTCCAAGAATGAAATGGCTGGTTTATTTCCGGCCGGAGGTAGTATTGTAGTTATTGTACATCCAACATAGGATTTGTTTCACGAGTTATGTACGAATACTATTAATACTACATTAATAGACACAAAACCCAACGAATACGGTAAGTAACGTTAGTTATGCTTAATATTAGAGGTCCAGTTTCTGCTGTGATACTGTATAATGGTCATATATATACAACGAATACAGTAACGTTATGCATTAATATTTGAGGTCCAGTTTCTGCTGTGGTATAATGGTCATATATACTTGTTTACAGCACTTGAATCGCTGCCTTGGGGGTCGTCACGTGTTCTCGGTCGTTGTCGTCGTCTTGGTTGATAAGCGCACGCAGCTCGGCCGCTTCGCGCTCCCGCTTCTTCTTCTTCACAATCAGGAACGCCACGATTCCAATCGCCAACAGCGCCAAGATGATCACCACGATGGCGATGATCGTCGACGAGCTCAGTCCAGTGGAGGGACTGGGGATAGGTCCGATTCCTTGGTCCGAGGGAGCGGCAGAGGTGACCAGTGGCGCCTGGGTCGTCGTCGTTCCCACTTCGCACTGTGCACCGGAGTACCCTTCGTCGCATTGACACGTGCCATTCGCGCACTTGCCGTGGGCGCCGCAGCTACCGACACCGGCTTGACAGCTTCCGTCGACCACGACTTCGCAATGAACGCCGCTCCATCCTGTGTTGCATGCACACTTGTACGCAGCGCCGTCGGCGGTCTGGCAACTCCCGCGGCCGTTGCACGTGAGTCCATTCGACGACTTGCACCCGCTGCTGCACGACGAAGATGCAGGGCCTGCAATGGCGTCACATCGGTCCACCGACATGCACTTGTAGATACCGAGAACCCCGTTGAATGCAGTGCACGAGCCGTTTTTATCACTACAAGCTGACGCGTTCGTCGGGCTCCATGCACACACGAGTTGTCCTGAGCTCACAAGACCAGGACAGTTACCAGGCGCAGTACCAGTGCACACAGGCTCCTGCACGCACGATTGAATGGCTTCTAGGGCACTCCCCGCGATGCAAGAAGTGCCCGAAGGACAGTCGTTGGTGGAGTTGCAGTAGTCACCCAACACGGTACTTCCATCAACTGAAGCCGCTAGTTGCGCCTTCGCAGACGACGAGAAGACCACTCGGTGGGACAACTGCGAGCTGAAATCGAACCCAGAAGCACTTGCTACGACGCACGCTGCCGCCGTCAAACTAGCGACGAATCCACGCATGATCAGGTAGGCGTTGACGGCTTGGAGGGGTTTTTCGCGGAGAAATAGCTTGATATTTGTATGCAATAATAAAATGAACATAGTTTCCTTGCAATAATTTGACGAATATTTTAGAAAAAATTGGCAATTTCACAACCAGGGTGTATCCGGATTTTCGGTATTTGAAACCCCCAAGCCGAAACCTCTCACAGCCTATAAGAGAACCTTCAAGAGCTTATGCATATAACTACAGCACTCCGTGGTTTTATCCCAATGTACAGTAATAGGCACGAGCTCACTATCCGTACTCACTGGTTTTGGTCAATTGTAGTGTGAGGACAGTGGCCGGACAAAGTGCTCTATAACTTTAACTTCATCGTCGTTATGGGACACTAATTAATAAAATATGTACTCATTCCAAATTTTTGTCAATTCGCAGGGTTACGTTATATATATGTTTTTTTCGGCATGTTAAACCCTTAAAACTCAGGTTTACAAAAACGTGATACAAATGGCATAAAATGTTGGTTCGTACAATCACATTACAGTAGCTGGTGTGAAAGGTATTTCCAAATCCGTGACCATATATATACATATACCATATATATACATATACAGTACTGGTAGCTCACAGTGGTCGCGGGAATTTCAATACAACAAATCGACCGATTTCCACGTAGTGTTGGCTGAATGAACGATGGAAAGATGAAAGATTCAATGAACAGTCACATAGGTTATCCTCGTACTACTATACTTTTTAACTGTGTGTTGTGGGCATGAATATACTATATATATATATATATATATATATATATATATATATACTAGTATACTATTCCAACGTGCCCTTGACATCAATCACAATTTTTCCCTTGGTGCGTCGCGATTGCAATTTCACAAACGCATCGTCGACGCCTTGGGCTGTGAACGGGAACACGGCGTCGATCACCGGTCGTTGCTTCGACTTGACCAACAGACTGATGACTTCAGCTAAGTCGGCGCCATTTTGGTCGGTCAAAATAAGGGCAATGTCTTTGCGAGGAAACCCGCTGAGTTTGCGAATCCATAACGTGGCGGGGCCGTTCAGTGTCACGTGGTGCTTGGTCGGGTCCTTTAGGACGAGTTTGGCCTTCTCGAGGTAGTCTTCGCCGCCGCCACTGGCCGTGGCTGCGTCATACACAAAGTCAAAATGTCCTTCGTTGCCCTCCACGATCGATTGCGTGTTGTAATCGATGATACGATCCGCGCCAATCGACTTGACAAACTCTTCGTTCTTTTTGGAGCACACGCCGACGATCTCGCTGGCCCCGAGCGCTTTTGCGAGTTGAATTGCCGCCGTGCCGCACCCACCACTGGCCCCGATCACCAGCAATTTCGCGCCAGCTTCAAACCCGTGCTTCACTAGACCCTGGTACCCCGTCAAGTACGCGACAGGCAGCGCCGCGCCTTGTTGGAACGACAACTCATCGGGCAGTTTCGCTAATAAGCTGGCTTTGACCACAGCGTGGTCGGCGAGCGCACCAGAGGTGTTGCCGACGACGCGGTCCCCCACCGCGAACGCTGTCACGTCGGGACTGACTTGCGTGACAACTCCTGCCAAATCTAGACCGACGACTCGCCCATGGAGAAACCACTTGGGAAGCTTGTAATCTGGTAAATCAGTGAGATGTTATCGAAGTTGTAGAGGGAGACATACCAACGGGGTTTAAGGACGCTGCATGAACTTGAACGATCACGCTGTCGGTCGCTTGGAGGACTGGCTTGGCCGGCTCAGGGTAGAACGCGCGGCCGGTGCCGCTAAAGATGGAGTACAACACGGATGGCATGTTGATTGATCTGAAGTGTTTCGAAATGGAGAGGATGGAGTTTCCGTTTTGATTTTGGTGACGAGAATACGTTGGCCTTCGTAAAAATCACTTGAGATTTGTAGGCGTCATGTTGACGGCATCACCTGACCGGTAGGAATAACGAAATCGGATTGGCTGATAAAGTAGTGAGTAGCCAATCCAAGTGTCAGTATTTACCACACCACAGTTTGGCCGAAAGGTCAAGTTGAAGTAACTTGCGAAGTTGACCTTATATTATTTCCGTTTCTACGGTACTACAATATAGACTAAGTGGAGCGAATTCGTGGTTATACTCGTTAGTCTTGGAGCGGTATGATCTTCAACAACTGCAGGCCCTGTTTGATCGCAGTTGCCGACACTTCCTGTGCCAACACTTGCACGGACGACACGTCCCGTGATGTTGAGTTTGGTTGACAAATGTGAAAGATGGCGTCACGTAAGATGTGCATGACAAGGTGCTGAGCAAACGTCACCACTTCCCCTTCTTGGTTCAATGGCACTACTGGTGGAATTGTAGTGGGGTAAGACAAATGGCATGGGGTGGCGTGGAGGGGGTGGACTAGCAACGATGTGAAGGCCTGCTGGCCCCCCCCTTGAGTTGGAACTACTGATCGACCGCGGCCGGCCAATAGATCGGAGTGTTCAGGCCTGGTCAAGATGACTCTCAGAACATCATTCACCACACACTTGGCCATCGTAGCCAATGCATCGCCTCCGTCGTTCGATCCCACCCTTGGACTGGTCTTATTCTTCTTGAAAACACTGGCTTCCCCTGTTTGAGGTAACAGCACTACCGGCGGGAATGAATGGTCGACAACGACTGGCGAGGTAGCCGTTTCAACGTGAGACTTGTTGGTCACACTACTATTGTCCTGTGTCACAGGTTGTTCCCGTTCCGAGAGGGGACGAGCTAGAGATGCTGGGGACTTGGACGCATTTGATGAGCTCCGTCGTTTTGTTTTCGAGGATGCCGCGGCTGCAACCGCTCGTTTGGTCGGTGGAGTTTGCCCTTTTAATGTCTTTGTCGACTTGTTGAGTGTGACCTCGACAGCGATCTGAGTGGCGCGTCGAATTTTCTCCCGTTGCTTTGCAAGTTGCTGTGGGTTTGAAACACTCTTGACGTTGGCAGTGCGACGAACAGGTCCATCTCGTCGCGTTGCTGAGCTCGTGGCTGTTTGCAATCGCGATGCCTTTAATAGCATCTTGGTTGGTCGACTACTGGTCGTATCTGGGCTGTCCAAGGATCTATCCCACGACTTGACCTCGTCCTCGAGCGGCGCGTTCTTCAGGTCGTTGGCAGTCGCTTTCTGTATGGCCGACGCCGTAGTGTCTGCAAGTGGAGGTGGTGTCCATCTCTCGTCAGACAGTTCCAGAACAAGTTGCTCGTGGGCGACAGCAACGACCGTGGCATCCCTTGACAACGTCAGCGTCAGATCGGCCAACTCGACTAGTTTCATCACAAAAGAAACGTCTACAGAGGGCATGTCATGCATGTACAGCGCGCTCACGGCAGGCAATGCGCCATTGATCGCATGAAACAGAGCGCGGCATTTGATTGCTTCCAGCAGTACTTCGACTACAAACCGCAGTTCATTCATCATAACCAATAAATATATTGGAACATGAGAGCTATACCAATAAACATATACATGTATAAATAAATATATATATATATATTGGAGATTCAGTGTGAATTTCTTTCAATTGAATCAAGCCGACCAAACCCGGCCCCATTTTCCTATTGGTCAATCTGAAATTGCTTGTTTCTTATTGGCTGAAATCCAATTTCAATTTTCTACTGATATCTTGGCGCGGTTTGCGTTCTCGGTTGAACGAACCATAATAAGAAATGGGAAATTTGAAGAAAATCGAAAATATATAAATGATATATTTTCAACGTGATAGGTATACTACGTAGAACATATATTCGGAAACTCTTCAGTACCTCCCACCAACGTAAGAGGGTTCCCGCCAATGTTGAGCGCAGTGATACTAGGCTCTTGGATCAGCTGGCTACGTGTATTCGACTGTAGTTAGAGCGACTATATACATTATAGTATATCGATTATTCCCTTACGTGGCAATGGGATAGCACCCCACGTCTGTCAGATTCGCAAACGACAGATCGATCGACAGCAAAATGTGCGGAATGAACCACGTCAACGATATCGCAGACGCCCGGTCGACTTCAAACCCGGGGATGCCGCCGCCGTTCAAGTCCACGCCTTGGAAATCCAGACTAAATTGGGGTAGACCGTCGTCATCGTCTGCTAGAAAAAACACAATTATATCTCAGGAATAGCCGAGTCCCTTGATCACTCTTTTTGCTTAGGCAAACTCATCTTTTTTATACCTAGAGTGTTGGGCAATGCTGTGGGGTGAACACAAGGGCGAGCCCAAGGCTTGTCGAGGCGAAGCATGATTTGAGGGTGAAACTTGGACTGATACGTTCCCAATAGTCGTTCGAGCTCGAGCTCGACCGTTCCGGTATGTGTTAACGGCCGGTCCTATGTAAAATGGGCGAATTATACATATGAATGACGGGGTTGATTTCGAAAGTACTTATTAGCGACAAAACGCCATACCTTGGCCGTTTGTGGCCTTCGAACTCGTTGTGCTGGTGCCAAAGTAGTCAAGCTGTCGGAACTTCGTGCTTGATGGATCTCCCGGCGAAGTCGAGACGCTATTCGAGCGCTGTCTCTGAAAAGTGTGGCGGACTGCGGACGACCTAAGCGCTTCAATTTGACATTCTTTTTCGGTGACGAAGATGCTGGCGGTTGGTAGGTTTGCCGCTGCAGCGGTGGCGGCGGATCTCTGTCATCGGATTGCTCCACTTCCATGTACTTCTATTGAGGATCGAATGTCGTAAATCTAAAACTATTCTCTCAATGATATCATTGTTCCAAGTAAATACCACATAGTCGTCTAGGTCGAACGCTGGTATTGCTGGTGGGTCTACATATAAGGTTAGTGTGTACATACCGTGATGATTTTAGGAAAATAAATACAAGTTATGCATAAGGGTATTTATATTACAGTAGAACTACGAATAATACTGATGGTTTGCAGTACCTGGGTCAAAGGATGTGAAATGCACAGTCTTGGGCACACTGCGGCACAATGGTTGGATGGACTTTGGTCGCTTCTGCTCCATATATTTATATCATCAACCTCGAATGATATATATTATTCGGAAAAATGTTTCTTTAAAGAGAGAGTAGTACCTACCAGTTCAATGGATTCAAACGCAAGCAACATGCTTTTCTTATGGGCTTGAATCCGCTCCTCCATAGACTTGGCTGCAAACGCTGCAGCAAAGTTCTAGTCCCATTCACATGAATTACAGTATTAATAAAAGGACAGTCGATGGCAAGGCGTCGTACGTCGAGGGGTTGAGGCTGCTTCTTGGCGGGCTTCTTGACACGCTTGCCAACATCTGGCTGTTCGTGGTCCATCCGCACATGAATTTGGATGCCATGGGTATTTGATATCGTCACTAGAGTCAAAACAGAGCAATATATGAGTGGTAACGTCAAGGGAGCGGTTTGTATTCTCATGCAAAGTGTAGTTGCAGTTTACGAACCCTTGTGGTGCTGTCGTCGAGTGGTTGGGCCATTGGGCATCTTGCTATTGTATCCGCTGCAATCTCGGGCTATTGCTGCATTGACAAAATATGTGAAACGCCAAAGTTCAATGGGCTAAAAATATACAGTCCCTCAAGCATTCAGGCAAAAGTCAATTCTATAACTTAATCAATTGTAGTCCAGCTGCTAATACAACTACACTGTCACGATACAATTCCGTCCAGTAATGGCCCTCATCAAACGAGCCCAATTATAATTAGCTCTACTCGTGGTAATACAGTATTATTACGATGGGTTTTATCAGTGGTCTAGTGTACAAGTAGTGCGTGGCCCCATATATCACGTAAAACTATGAAAGGCCGACGCCGCCTTGACGGCAGGCGAGGCAAACTGCGGATGTAACCCAAACACACACGTGTTGTTAACACACACAGCAGACGCGACGGGCATCAAGCATGCGGTGGTCATCCATTGGCTACACGTGGCATCACTGTCGCACTCGACACCACCCCCACCCCCCACAGCGTCTTCCCAGTCGCACCAGCGATTCGCGGCGGTTTCCAATTTGACCACTTGGACGTTGCTAACTTGGGTCGAGCACGAATCAAAACGGGGTTCGCCAGCCCATGCGTTGGGCACCCATGAGTGAAACGTCAGGGGGGCAGGGTCCGGACTGGCCGGCAGAGCACGCAGCTTCCGGATCAGCTGGCCGTCGCGGTACACATTCGCGCGGCCGGCGGTGCGATTCCACTGCAACACAAAGCTGTGCACTTGGGTATCGGTTATCGAGGGGCCAAAGCTGAATTGAACGTATGGCACCGTGCGTTCTTGGTTTAGTGACGCCCGCCACAGGTCAGCATAGGGCAAGGCTGGGGACGCCGCCACCGCCGCCTGGACACCAGACATGTCGAGCGCCCATACCTCCGAGACTACCCCAAACGAAGGGCATGTTTGAAGCTGAAAGCTCGCGACTAGTTAGAGAGATGGTTGTCATTTTTCATGAAGGGTCGGGAGGGGGGATTTATAGGGGATATTGAGATACGAACCCCCAGCGTTCCATGAGTCCACCGTCGAGACCGCTGCACCGACACGACGTGCAGCACATGTGACGGTGCCACTCGGGGCATTGCTGCATGGAAACGAGTGGACACCAGGCAACATCCAGCCTTCGAGGGGGGTCGTGGGGAGTCTCGGGGTAACTAAACATAGCAACATACTAATCAAAACGAAGTCCTAACACTTCACACACACAACTACCCGAGCCACCACCAGCTTGTAACATGACGCCTATGGGAGTACTCCCCGTGAATCGATCTCCGTGTATGGCCAAACTCAACGTCGAAGCTCCGTTAAACCCGGTCGTGTTATCTTGGCACTGGACATTGTCACTGTGGACGCCGCCGTTGATATTATCCCCGCCGTATTGAGTCGTGTATTTCATCCACTTGGTCCAATTGCATGAGATAAAATCGTCGCGAAAGAGTAGCACATGGCTGCACGTTTGCTGAGCCGATGACGATGGGAACGTCAGCGCGCCTGCACAACACATGTCTACCGCGACGGTCGTAACCAGCGGATCGCTAGCTCGGAGCCCGTCGAGGCACGTGATGGCTTTGACGACGACAGCCGTACCAGCCAAGGTTGGAGGCACTAGCGCCAGCGGTGACCTATACGTAGGCCACGCATCCGAGCAAGTCAAGGCGGCGCTGGCAGACACTGCATACTTGACGATGCCGCCGGTGGTGCCAGGGGTCAACATAGCCACGACAGTACGCATGGTGGTAGTGCTGCAACGAGTGGCTAACGATGGCAGAGCACAGCTGGCGTCCACCGGGCCAAAGTAGACAGGAGTGCTGTCGTTGCAATACGTGGAGCTGCAGCACGCCACGGCGACCACCCGTTGACTGGGTTGAATGGCTACAAACGACGTACTCACGGCCATTGTCGAGTTGGTGGCAGTGACTACACAATGGTATGATCAACGGAATTGAAAAACTACATAAGTAATGTATGGGACTCTGTATCATGAAGACTACCCAAATATGTAGGATTATTTTCCCTTACGGCAAGATGGAGGGCGGCTAGTGTCTGTGTCAGTGGAAACCAACGTTCGAACCAACACGGTCGAGTCGACAGCATCGGTGGAGACGGAGATATTGAATATCGCGGTGGAAGTAACAGATACCGGCGCGACAAGTGCGATCGCAGGGGCTTTGGGCTGCACCACAAACGGCGGCAGGGTCACAATTTCACTCCCCACGAGCCCTCGACCGCACGCCAGTGCCCTCAATACCCCGTTGCTCCCCACGTCCATCGTGGCCGTGACCCCGCTGGTCACGTTCAAATACGATCCAAAAGTGCAGCTCGGCATGTCGTTGCCCGTTCCAAATGTGAACCAGAGCTGCATGTTGGGGCGAGGCATGGTCACATTAATCACGTACGTTTGGTTGACAGTCGTCGTGATTTGAAATGTAGGGGGGGGACTTTGGATGTAGAGGCGAGGGGACCGGTAGCCGTAGCTTTGGCTGCCCCGCCAACACGTGACTGCGTGTATGAAACCCGTGGTGCGTAGCGTCACTGTAGCATTGGATGCCACGGCGGTGGAGGCATTCGAAGGGCATACTGGAAACGCGTGCGACCCATCCCCCACGGTCGTTAGCACCACTCCATTCGACGATGACGTGATCACTTGGACAGTCAACGCGTCTCGGCCAGATGTCGCTGTCGTAGCCAACAACTTGGGAGGTTGCACCCGTGCAGTTAGCAGCACATTGTCGATCGCCCACTGGTCGAATAAGTTTCGATATTGCCATTGGTACCGCGTTCCTATGTTATCCGACTAGGACGTAAGTATCCAAAAGAAAAGAGGGATAGAAATGTCCTATATAGATGGCCTTGCCTTGAATGGCCCCGACGCGGGTACTGGTGTGAGCATGCTGAATCCATCGAAACGACGTGGTGCGCGTGCCAAAAACCGCTCCATTTGTCAACAAGGAGGACGGCAACGAGGATGGCAATGGCAATAATGTCGTTTGCATGATTGTCACGGGGGGCGACGATAGGGGGATAGTCACGAGACGCTGCCATGTGGTTCCGTTGTCGCGGCTGATTTCAACGCTGACTTCCGCGCCTGGCTGCACCTGTTCACAAGACAACGTGTTGTTGCCATACCCGTCGTACGATTCGTTGGGGAGATGGCCATAAATGTACGCAAACGACAACTGCGCGTCGATGCCTCTCAAGTCGAACGGGGTTGTGGATGCCATTCGATTGCCCAAGTGGGTAAAGTACAATGCATTGCCCGTGGAGCCGACCTACAGTCACCCACAACATGAATAATCATAATGAAACCACAGTGGGAGTCTCAATGGCGTTCTAGGCAGAGCATGCCTTTATTCCTTATTCCGTCGTACAGTATATATATGGTATGTCTATACCTTTCCACAGGTATCACTAGCAAACCCGTGCTCAATAGCCGTCCAAATTGACGTGGATGCATTGGGAATCGCTCCAAAGGGTAATGCATCAAACGTATCCGAGGCCAACGTGGTGCCTGTCCACGCTCCCTCCTGTACAGAGTACGCTTGAGGGGGGGGCACGACTGTGACTTGGGAGCTGTAGAGGGTTTCGTTGGTGGTCATTGATGTGAAGCGAATAGTGTATACGCCAGTAGCGTCCTTCTCCCCTCCTTGAACCGAAATCGAAATCGTCTGGGGGCTAGATAACCCTCGTAGGGAAGCCGACGGCAATATCACAAACGAATGGTTGGCGTTCACGTTGGCCACCACTGAGATCGTTGCCGATGTGGTGAGCGACACCACAAGTGACGCCAACGTTTCGCCTTGTACCAGCACCGAAGGCAGCACTGGAAACGTGCCGACACTTGGCGATATTTGCAGCGCACTGCTAGCCAACCGATATGTCTTTGTAGGCGTTGCTCCTATCATTAAAATAGTTCGTGTGTGAAGTCTGAGGGATGTGTACCAGATAAGAAACAGGCGAGACACAGCAGCCTCAATATGACCTCAACCATCCCCATCGCGACGATTCAGTCGCCGCCAAATGTTGTTTCAGCCTAACGAAACTGCGATTTGAAACTGCAACGTGTACAGTTTTAGCTCACTAAATCGAAATCACAAACACAATCACATTTGACGAAATATCTGACGGTTAGCTAGTGATTTTTTTGCCAGGGCCGGCATTCCACCTCGCTAACGTTGTTGTCTACAGTAATCAATCAATAAATATTTGCCATGTTGATCTTTAGTGTTTGTTTCGAGAAATTGATTTGGGAATGAATGTAATTTACCAACATCTACAGTAGTACGAAGTACTGTAGCACTACTGAAGTATATACACTGTACGTACCGCTTGTGAAACTACTTTAGGATTTGCGCTAACGGTGTAAAGGTCACCGAACTACAGTAGCACGTGCACATTGGATCAACGTTAGATGATTCACTACGTTAAAATCCTGTAGCCAATGGGTTTTTCTGATGCGTATGATAACGTTAACATTATGGTCGACGTGACGGAGTGTACGAAAAGGTACGAAAAGTGTTGTGCAGGGTGGATGAATACTGTACTATGTGTCGTACGCTACCAAGGTGTACTGTGTACTACTTCGAGTACTTCGAGTAGTACTTTGTAGTCAAGGGCTTTTTACTACTATTAATAGTCCATTGGCTGGATACCACATTCACTCGTTTGTGCTTGAAGTGTTGGTCGCTGCCAATTGTAGAAGGTAAACTGTCAACAGTCCTACCTAGTACAGTACACAGTACCACCGATACCCCATAGACTCCATTTTCGAATTTAACACGCTTGGAAACATGCCGAGTGTCGTCTATTCGATCTTCCGCCGCAACAGTTTGATCCCAATGCTGCCGCTCCAGAGCTCGGTGACTCGAAAGTGTGATTGTTGAAGTACACATTGCATCGTTAAACCCGTTCGGTGAGGGACAACTTGCTACATCTTTCGTTTTGACTACTTGGACAAATTTTCAATTCTGCCGTTAGATTCTAAAATCCCCACGTTGTTTCGGCATGGCCAAGGCGTGGGCATCGATATTGCCGGCATTGTCACGCAAGTGAGTGTAGACGTCACGACGTTTTGTGTCGTGGACCGAGTATGTGGCAACACCAGGGGGCCCTCGCAGATCAAGCAACTTGCCGAGCAACTCAATTGGCCAAGCTTCGACCTTCGTTTACGTTTCAACAAGGCGGCGCTACCTTGTGCGTACCTGACGGCGTATCAAGGCCTGATCAACCATGGCTTTGAACCCGGGGCTAAAGTACTGGTCACTGGAGCCAGTGGCGGGTGCGGTACTGCCGCAATTCAACTCGCCAAGGCGCTAGGGGCCAGCGAAGTGGTTGATGTGTACTCGACCAAGAACGAAGGCTTTGTCAAGTCGATTGGCGCCGACCGCACGATCGATTACGAGACTCAGTCGATTGTGACCGGGGATGAAGGGTACTTTGACTTTGTGTTTGACGCGGCGAGTGGCAGCCCTGGTGGCGAAGACTACTTGAAAAAAGCCAAGGTCGTGCTAACCGATCCCTCCAAATACCACGTCACACTCAGTGGTCCCGCGACGTTTTGGATCCAGCTCATTTGTGGCTGTTCACCCAAGCACATTGCGCTTCAAATGACCAGTCGAAAATGCGCCGATTTGACCGCGATCGTGGAACTCTTGAATCGATCCGACCAACGGCCTGCTATCGACACGGTGTTTCCCTTCACAAACCAAGGCGTTGTCGACGCGTTCGCGAAATTGAAATCCCGTCGAACAAAGGGCAAACTCATCATTGATGTCGCCGCGAGCCTCAACACATTCCACTAATATGGTAGTACAGTAGAGTCCACATATGGACGCTTCTTACGAATATACCTCTAACTAGTAACTACTGGTATATTCCTTGAGTTCAGCCTTGAGTTGGATGGATGGGTGATGTTGGCGATGCAGTAGTGGTGATGATTAAGATGCCGAGCTTTGGGGCTTCATACTTTCAAGTATGTCACTGTGAATAGCGTGAATTTACTCCAATGTACACTGTAGTTCCCTGTAGCCTTCACCAGCATGAATGATTTGAGTGGCTGTGCTCTTCACGAATACTAGTACAAACGAAAGCTCGAGTACTTGTAGTAATGTAAGTTATTGGTTGTATCCCAGGTGCATATAGGTAGAGCCAACAAACTGTTTTGGGTTTACGTTGAATTTAATGATATCAAGACAACTACGAATACCACACAAGTTGGTGGCCTTTCTTGTGTTGGATGAAGCGTCGTCCGAACCTTTTAGTAATTGTCACGAAGGAATCGAGGCGGGCTTGGGACGTTGCCTTCACCTTCAACGGCATCGTTGAGGGCATCGCGCAGTGCTAGGAGCATGGCCAACTTTTTGCGTCGCTTTAGCGCCGTTCCCCGCTTTCGGCGGTCGTCCAAGAGGGTTTCGTCCTCGTCCTCCAACGCCTCATGCCGTTCAAACAACATGGACGCTTCGTCGTTTGAACGGGATCCTTGGGCGTCTTCTGCCATAAACGAAAACGAAGGCGGCAACACGACGCGATTGAGTGCGTTCGACTTGGCCAGCAGGTCCAGCACCACGCGGTTGTCGTCGCCTGTGGCAACAATCCCGTCGGCGTCCGAAAAGAGGGCCCAGCGCAGGCGATGGTCACCTGTTTCCACCGACGCGACGGTGTCGTCCAACAACGCAGCAGCTCGACCAGTGCGATGATGATGATAAACGCGACTGCGGCTTGACGAACGCGTAGAATCGTCCAACGCCGACCGGAAGGTGTGGGTGCTGGGCGCACGAGAATTCGAATCGAAGCCGCTGTTATCGCTGGCGGTAACAAAGGTGGCCAAGCTGGCAAACGCAAAGGCACTGATGGTCTTCATGGTGTCGAGGGAGTTTGGAAATGAGCCATATGCATGTTGTTGTTGGTTCGAGGCGACGACGGGTTCAATAGAACAACGGCTAACGTTCGAATTCGACCTTGTTGAATTAAATTTTTGACCAGGGCATAAAAGATAAATAGAAAGAAGAACGTGATGTTGGAACGTTAGTGTCTGTCTTGTAATATGCGCCCAGATATAATGAAAAACAAAGAGGTAGAACGCTGCTGTGTCTTCTTTATCTTAGTGAATCTCTCAACGCGGAAGCTTAACGTCGACTCATAATCAGACCATCAAACACCACGAGGGGTTGCTATCCTTGTTCGATCATTTGTCTGTGTATACAAGTATTTGCAATCTCGACCACTTGATTGAAATTAGCATGCAAAGATGACAATAACTGTATGTATCCATACAATCATGAGAATTAAAGGTTTAAAAGGCGCACAGCCCAAGTTGGTTGGCCTCGTCATAACGTGAGCTCAAGATACCACGAACGATACAGTAGTTCGACGGAGTAACGTTATTCTAGGATACAGTACATTAATTGTCGTGTACTTCAGCAAAATATACCCTCGTCATCACAAGCGTTACAGTAACTAGTTAGTCTAACTTCTTGTTATTAAAGTTCCAAGTAGTTTTCTGAAATAGCATGAGCCAATCAAAATCGATTTAGCTATTTTTTTTTCACTTTTTAGAAAAATATTTCAAGGACCTCTTATTCTACTTTTGGTATATGATTGCGTAAAAAATCAAAAATCGCACAAAAAGAGGTAAAAAAGTAGGAAACTGTACTTGGAACCAATTTTCCATTTTCCAAAAAATATCTTCTTGGAACAGGCCCTTATTAATACCCCAAAATGTAGCTTTCGACACACACTGAAATCCATGACGTCATGTCTAACAATCTAGCCATATCATGTTTGTAGCCACAACAACTTATTTGGCTCACCCTCACCCCACAAAGCGCGAGGTCACGTTTTGTCGTGGTTATGATGAACGTATTGTTGAACTGTACGTTTTCATCGGGCACCTTGAGGTTAAGTGAATAATGGAGCAATCATATTTACTCTGCCCTTGCAACCAACATTGCCGACGCATATAATCAATTCTTTGAGAGTACATTTCACGCGTTGAAGCTTAGTATGAATTGCTGCAGCTAGGGCTTGTAGCCGGTGGACGCAGATTTCTATGCACCACCGCTGCGACCACCACCAGTAGCAACGCTGCCATCCCGACGGCGACTTCCAACGCCAACATGCGACTCAACGTGTTGGTCCAGCGTTGACAACTGCGATGCATGTACGAACATGGATATGATTTTCTGGTACGAATCTACGCATTGAAAGTTCACGTGGATGTTAAAGCCACCACATTCGTCCTTCGTGTCATGGAACCACCAGCTTGCTGTAAGTGAAGTTTAAGGTCCAAGTCGAGTGGTTGGAACAGCCAACGGCGTGGGATTTTTTGTGTTTGCCCCAGTCAGCCACGCATTCCTACACGTGTCCTAGATGAAGTGGCCGTTGTCGGACGGAAGAATCACGTGGAGTCGAGGGGGATGCAATCGAATCGCGCCAACCAAACCGATCCCCAATCGATCTGATTGGTTGAATTTCATTGAGAAGGTTTTGATTGGTTATTAATTTTGAGCTCATCTGAGGTAGCCAATCAAATAGATTTAAATTCCAACGAGAAACCACGCCACAACACAATGAAATTTCACTCGAAAGCACAATTAACGTCAATTCCTTCTCCAACGTGTTTACACGTGGTGGTGAGCTGTCTGCTTTTCAGGCAGGCTGCGGCCTATGTCGTCTCTTACGGTTACCAGCATTACAGTTAAAAGCAAACGATTTGGTAATAATATCGTCATGGAGTTGACATTGTCAGGTTGGAGCCAAGCAAGGGGTTACACTGACGTTGGCGCCTTTATACGTCCAGTGACACGCCGATCCGAAACGCTGTCTTGAACGGATGATTCTTCGCCTCGGAGTTCAATGGAAAGCTCACGACACTCCAGTCGGCGTCTTACAGGTGGTTCCCGGCTTCACGTACACTTGACAGACCGTTGCACCAGTCGTCGAGAAAGAAGCTAGCTGGTCACTAGCGCGTTGGCCCACGGTTGTAACTACCCCATTCAGAACAAGAAGCACGTTACCTTTGCATGTTCTAGTGCAATGAGGCAAACCGTTACATGCAGGCTTTCGGAAACGTCGTTTGGACGAACCCGTCTCAACCGGATGAGGTGGCGATTATGCGGATGATTGCTTTCATTGGATGAAACAAAACGACAAGGATGGACTACCCTAACCATAAACGACTGTTGGCCGTAGGTACCACTACTACCGTATACCCCCCGCTTCAGTACCTATGAAAATGTCAGTGAAATCTGATCACAACCGGTACAGCTCCACGAAAACTATTCAGGCATGCGCATTGGTCTAAATCCATCACAGGACTTATATTTCATTGGATGAAAATAATTAACGCATGGTGATTGGATATTTTTGTCCAATTAGAGACAACTAGGTACTACCGGAACCATGAAAATGTTCGTCATTGTCCGATACGTTCCAAATCGGTACAGGTCCAACCGGAGAAATCATAGGTACTGTATACGGTAGTAGTATTACTACTAGTAGGTACAGGTGTACGCCATTTTGCATTCCTAATTAAATAAAGCGTACAACCATTCGTATATACAACCATTCGTATATATAATGTGAACTAACGACCAAAGTGTGTGTCGACCTGAAGGACTTTCTCCAGTGCCTAGTTAAATACTGTAAACCTGCATCCTTTGATAATACCTCTGGTATTATTAGTCAAGTTACCCATATACGACTCGTGCATCTAGTACGTTTCAGCCAAGATATTCACCACCAACGCCGTCCAGCCTGAAAACGGATGGCAGCGCTGGCCTCGCCCCGTGTGTGGGTTGTATTGCTCGTACAAGTAGCCCGTGGCCTTGTATTCGTGAGAAATCGCCGCGACCACTCGATCTCTCAACGTGTCGTACAGTGATTGGTACTGCTCTCGAACTGACTTGTCGCTGGCGTGCGTCGCATAGTGCTGAAAACTGCCCAAGGCCAGGTAGTTGATGTTCATCCAGATCGGACCACGCCAGTAGGGGGCGTCACCGGGGGCGTTGGGGCGCTCAAAGTACAAATCTTGGGGGGACAGCGACATGAGTCCATGAAGTGAGAGCAGTTCGTTGGCGACGAGCGTGCCCAGGGGGGCCAACTTGGGCGAATTCAGTGGCAAAATCTGCAGAAATAGCGGGAAAAACGACACATACCCTACCCGGCGCACGAATTGCAGCCGTTCCTACGATTCAAAAACGCCCTAAACGGTCCAAAACATACAAACAAAGTGCGAATTTTGTTTACCGTCTTTGGTACAAACACTTGTTTCCCCAAGAGTCCGCCATTGCCATCGCCCAGAGGGTACTGAAAGTGAGGATGCGTGCGCGGACACCCGTCGTTTCGGTTCTTTCGAAGCACTTGGACGTTTGCCGTGGTTTGAATACTAGAATAATCAAGGTTTTGTTTTTGAGATGCACGTAGGTGCACGAGAAAACAAACGTATTGAGGGTGCACACCTGTCGCCCGTCGATGGGTTTTGGCATCGAATGACAAGGTGATCTTCAAACAACCCGTCGTCGCTGTGCAGACCGTAGTCATAGTACAAGGACGTAGCTGGATCCCAGTGCAAGTGGTTCATTGTGTCCAGATACGCCTGGGAAAGTTCCGAGAACGTTCGGGCTTCGACAGTGTCGCCCACTGCAAGGGCCACCTTGGCCAATATCGCACTGCCCTACCAGGAAAAACCACCACCCGTACGATCAAAAGACGAATATTATTATTTTACGCACTATAAACCTATATTTAATTTAGGCGCGGATACATATTACGAGTATAAAAATATACAGTTACACACGTGTGCCTTCGAAAACGATCATGCGAGGCACTCATCCAGCAGTGACAATATATACTAGTATACCATGACAGGTCGTATATATATATATATAAATTCTGTGTATCGGATTTCGTCCTTCCAATACGATTCAAAAGAGAATTCGACATACCATAAACACAAATATTTTTTACATATATCATAACCTGTAGATATACATAGTATTATTGTATACAAAAACGCAATCTTTGCGGCACGTTAATATACGACCATGTTCTATGACGCTCGAGACTACTGTCTTTGTCGTGAAAAATATATATAAAACGGGAATATATTTATATAACTCAATGCAATCTGTCAAATACACGAGGAATATATATTGTTATGTGTTTAGTCTAACATCTCAAGCGAGACATGAAGTATTATTGACATGGACAAACCACCAAATACACCAGAAGGATCGACAGAAACGAATTGAGCCAATCAGATTGCAGGAAACCGTCATCAACTTTTAATAAGAGTACGACTTTAAGTAGTGTCATTGTCCCCACCACAGGACTACGTTTTCTACATTTATATAATAATCCAACAATTCAATCGATGAAAAATTTGGCAAATAGAAGTCCAGCCTTTTGGAAACATCGACAATATATATATATATACATTACCTTGATCATCCACGCAGCTAGATCCACATGTCGTTCGTCCGCCGACGGATGCGATGCCCTTGGGTAGTCATCCAACCCAGATGAAAGCGTGTTTGGCATGAGCTTGCCGTCGTGAACGTCCCGCCCTCGCCACCGAAACGTATGCGGCTCCTCGCCGGCCTGGGTCCGCTGGAACCACGCAAACCACTTGCGCAGTTGGGGCCACCACCGGTGCAGCACCGCCGACTGCGACAGGTGCGGAAGGAGCTTCTCGACCGCCAGAAGCAGACTCGGCGGGTTTGCGTGGGTTGGGAACTGCGTGATAAACTCGGCGGGTACGCGCGCTTCGGCCAACGAGCCTATGTATCAACAAGCACCGGTTACATATATATGTATGTATAGTTCTACGATATTCATAGATAGTGGAACAACTTGGAGTATAGAAAGAAGACGTGGTCTTCCAACAAGAGATGGCAGTCGCATGAGGTACATTCTATCTATATATACAGTATGCATGGCTTTCTCAACTACAGGGAGTATCATAAATATCATCCACAGAGAATATGTATATATATCTATTTATAAGGATAAATGTATGTATATAGTATGTACACATATAGACGCCAGTATATATTATATATGGGAGGGATGTCAGTGCCACGGTTCTCTGGATACACTTCATGACATGAGAATATGTCGGGACTATATGCATATGTATATGATATGTACCAATATATATGTACCACCAATATATATATATGAAGAAATACATAAATATGCGTGATATGTACAAATATATATATATGCTACACAGCTCCTTGACATCCTCTTACGAGGATATTTCCCTACCTCGAATTTGTTCGCGGGAAATGTACCCGTCGTCGTCCATAAGGTCCAACCACGCATCGACAACTTGAACCGCGACTTGTGTGTCAAAGGGGATAATTCCCAGTAGATGGAATCCTTCGTCCCATAGGAATCCCCTTGGGAAGAACGACCGGGACGGGACCGCCGACAGGAGCGACCGCGCGGGGTTGGTCTGCGTCGCTTGTCCATCTGCTTGTTGCAAGATGGTGCTAATACATACAGAACATCCCTCCATTTGGCACACAATTCAAAGATAAATATCCACGGTATTGTGGATTCAGTAGTGTATAAATTTCCAGACCCTGTCGAATCATGAATCATCGACGCTATTGGCTAATCGAATTTTTTGAGTGGATTTGATTATTGGCTGTTACAGAAAGGACAAGTTTATTCAACCAATCACAACTCCAGCGTGATGATATCCATATTGATTAGACACAACTACGCGAATTTTGAAAGATGATATTGTCAAATCGATTCGAAACTGGAGCGAATGTCAGAATGGATTAAAGAACCGCCTAAGCCAATCAAATCACGTAATTCTGTCGAGTTTCTGCCAATCCAAACGTTTGACTCGACCCTGTCCCTCCGCACTGGGCAAAACCATTTATATACTAATAGTTGTATCGTATAGTTTGTACAAGATTAAATTGGATCAACTGAATTCGATTGCCTTTGGCGAAATCACTCCCAAGTTCAAATTTGGGTGAAATACATAATAGCAAACTCACAATATACAGTGAACAACAACACTCCAGCATGCATACCTTCCGTAAAAGTACCCAATCCCCCCGATTAAGTTGCTCAGTGCCGCTTGTCCGAGAGGTTCAAACTCGGGCGATATATGGGGAAACGCAGCGTGGAACTTGGCTTGAAAGGCCAAGTGAAATGACGGCAGCATGCCATCCATCACGACGACGGGGGTGGTCGACAGTACCTCGTCTGCGGCTTCGTCGTAGAGCAAGTGCAGCGTCAGGTCGTTCACGATCGATGGCGAAAATGTGAGCTGAACTAGGGCCAAGGTACTGGACGGCGCCAGAATGTTGGTCAGACGAGTGATTGTCGGCGCGTTGTCCGGATACGAGTTGGTCAAGTCGAGCAGCGTCTTCCGGATGTTGACAACGCTCCAAGACGACTCGCCTTGGTATTGGACAGATAGATCTTGCGGCGCGCCGCGGAAATGGACTTGGAAACGCGCGTGGAAGGCAAAGATGGGGTTCGCATGTGCAGATACAATCTCCAGCTCAATACATGATTGGCCATTTGGAGGCGGTTGGCGGCATGTCGTCGGCGGCTGGACCGACCACGATGCGCCTGCACGAGATATGGCGAATCAGTGAAAGTGTTGAAGCATATATATTGTGATTTTTTGCTATAAACTTGCAGCATTCGCTAGGTTTGTCCAATCAATACTGAATCATCACGGTGGAGTTGTGATTGGTTGAATATACTTGTCCTTTTTGTATGAACCAATCAAATAATCCACTCAAAATCGGATTAGCCAATAGCGTCAATGATTCGTGAATCGATTCGGCAGTAAGATTCGATTCGACGGGGTCTGGAAATTTGTACAAATCCAAAGCCAGAAAAAAAAACTGTCAAGGAGCCAATCAAGCGCGTGCAACCAGTGTGATTTTAAATAGGGGTGTATTCAACACATTTAGTCTAATAAATCGACCGGTGGATTCAGTGAATTTGGTAAAACAGCTCAAATTTTGTTATGTTTATTCAAGACTGAAGCGACACGGAGAAGAATGAGAATGCGACAAACAACCAAATAAATGTAAAAAATGTAGAAAAGTATTGAGCCAATCAGAAAGCAGAAAAGTATAAATCCACAACTAAGTAGTGTGTGACTTGCACAAACAATCGATCGATGGATTTGGCAAATCAGCACCAAAATCCAAATAAGATGTTGTAATTTATCAAGGTCATCATTTTAATTTAGATGCACAAAAGTCTAATTTAATTTTACCTGGATTAACTTTTTTAGTAAAAAAAGGTATATATTTAATATACCATTATACAAGATTGCTGGGAAGGAAGCATTGTTCAAGGTGATACGAATCAAGTGATGCCATCACGCTATGAAGAAATGAATGTCATGACCATTCACAACCACGAGATATCGAAAGGAAGGAGGTTCGTGCATGATAAGTGTGAGTCGCATTCAGTTGGAGGGTTCGTATACCTTGCTGAGTGTCGCGCCGACAGGCATGAGTCAACGAATCGTCTTCGCAGCCGAGATCGAGGTAGAAGAACAACGATGCCGTGTCGGGGAGTGCGACGTCGGCGCGCAGAGGCGTCACGGCGACGCGGGCTGCCCATGACCGAGTGGCAAACGTCGTGGGAGACGTCGGCGGTTTGAGGAACGTCGTGTCCAGCAATAGGTTGTTGTGCTGGTCGCGAATGGTCTGCGAGCCAAACGTACGGCCGTCGTGCTCCAGCCAGCCATACTGCTCCAAGTGATCGCTCTCAAGGCACTCATGGCGAAGCTTGGGCTCCTTCGATGTCGACCACAGCAAGCCCGCACTCACATGGAACGGGGACGTTCGTGAGCGAATGCCAAAGTAGTGACCCGAGTGGTACGTGCCCCATCGAAGGGCGTCGTCGACGTCCGAGGTCTCGTCGACAGCATGCGCACAGGTATACCCTGTGAGGAGCACCGCGGCTGCAAGTGCCACGTGCATGCTTTTGTGAACAAGCCATACGAGATACACACTATTTTAAGACCATCAATTCGCAAACATTGAATTATTTTAAATACTGTTTTCAGTACTACTTCAAGCTATGTCGAAGTAATATTTATACAAAGAAATACTATTAATACAATTGTTTTAACCCAATTCTTTAAATAGTGTGCATCATAGTTGTTGGAATGAGTTCTGCCGCCGCCGCCGACGGCATCGTCCAGATCTCCATCTTCTATGGCAAGCAGCAAGCCGTGTTGACGATTCCTGTGGATGGAGATGGCCAAATGACTGTCCGAAAGCTCAAAGGATTGATTGAGCCATTGTTTGGTACACCTGTTGCAGCCCAGAAGTTGCTCTTTAAGGGGAAGGAACTATTGGACGCATCGACGATCAACCTGTCCACTCTTCCCAGCAAACCAAAGATGATGCTGCTGAGTCGTTCACCATCATCACAAGTCCACACATCATCAGCAACGCACCGTCCTTTGTCCCCAGACGTTCCCATCGCGCCAACAACTCCATCACCACCACCACCACTGCCACGTGTCGTCGTACCTGTCGGAGAAAACCAAGTGCTTGTCCAAGTTGTTCGTGGAAAAGACCGGTATCGGTTCGCAATGGACACCATCTCGTCCGTCTTCGACGTCAAGACACACCTGGAAATGCTCAGTGGAGTTGCCGCCCGCTCCCAGCGCCTTTTGTTCAAGGGAAAGTACCCCACAGATGACCTCGTCCTTTCATCGCTCGTGTCGTCCACAAACACATCGCCGTCGTCGCTCGTCTTTATGCTTCTCTTCGACGAACGGCAGCATGTCCGAGTGGACGTCCAAGCCACGACCGTCGAGCTGCAGCTGCAACTTGTCACGCATCGCACTAACTTAGCTCGCTTGGAGGGTCAGATCCAGCGCAATTTCTTTGACGCGACCGACGTAAGTCTGCGACTCCGACAGTTACTCGATGCCGTCGAGATCTTACTCAGCAACGCCGAAATCGCATGCGATTCATCCCCTTCCCACGACCTCCGTCAACTGTCCACGGATGCCCAAGCACTTCGAGACGCCATCACCCTAGTCCACGAAGCGCTCATCACGCGGCGGACATAATCATGATGACGTTAACGAATACATTTACTTCCAAGGATTGTGGATTCGGTACAAATTTCCAATCTCGCCGCCGAATCACGAATCGACGCTATTGGTTAATCCAATTTTGAGTGGATTTGATTGGTTCTTAAAGAAAAAAGGACAAGTATATTTAACCAATCAGAACTCCAGCGTGATATCCAATAACGTTATTGATTCGACAAACCACGCGAGTTTTGAAGCGTCTCTACTACTTACTGTACACTGTACCTGTAAAATTCTTTCATTGTTATTAAAAATATATATATATCTCGAGGTTGGGTTAATTGTTTCAAATCCACGTCAAAAACGAATCTCTCATTATTAGAATACAATGAACGACTATGATGTGGAGATTTGAAGTTTTTTAGAGGCGTTCATGTTACAGCAATCTAATGACCACGAGATTGGTTGATGACATTCGACTATACGATACAACACTCGCCATATTCCAATTGTCATAGTGTCCACAGATCAATCAACGTTAGACACAGAACCCTACACGCCGGCGAGTAAACTTTGGAAAAATATATAAGAAGCAGTGTACCCCTTGATCTCACAATTTGGCAAAGTTCAACCCGAGGACTTACATGTCCATGTCAAGAGATCGTGAACTGACAACAGATGAAGGTGACAACAGTCCACTTCAATGTTAATACGCTAACCGCTTCATTGGACAGTAAAATGTCTCCAATTAATATTAATATTTGAAGTACTAAGTACTACTAGTAGTCTAGTAGTACGTTGTAATAACGTATCCAATCCTAATTACAGTAGTGCAGTATTACTTGTATAATGGACATAGAAATAAATACTATGGCACCTCTGTCCGTAAACCATAACCCTACGCAGTAGTACTTGTAATAATTTGCATTTGCCGAATTAATCGAAGCTCTAATATATAGAATTAATAGAAGCTCTACAATAAATGTTCTCACCAACGATTTGAGGGGGCGCGGCGACTTGTTCGCGTTGATGTGCTGGAAGATCTGACAATCTCTAGTGAGTTCTAATAGACTAGTAGCTAGCTACTACATAATAGAACTTCATGTCAATATTCATAGAACCAACGTTCTACCGGTATACGTATACTACCGACGTACACCTAGGTTCAAATGGTGGTTCATTATTCACTTGATACCGTAGGCAATTCATTATGAGCATATAATGTATTGACTCTGTTGCATCAATTGATCGTGGTGGAGCACGAAAAAGGCGGGTTATTGACAGCGCTTCGTTTTGGCGTTCGTGGCTCCCCCTTGTGCTCGGGGTTACTGGTCGAGTTATTTGTATGTTGGTTGTATGGAGTGCGCAAGTCGAGCTTGAAGGCACTTGTTCATGTCAACAAAGGAAGCACCGAATGGCGTCAGAATCACTGCGGACCGCAGTTCTCGTCGACTGCCCTGCTGGGGGTATCCGGGCAGGCCTCGGGGGTCGTCATCCACGCGGTGCCAATGCTGAAATCGACGATTCCGGATACCATGACCATCGTCGTCGTCGAGCCGCCACGTCATCCCCCTCCATCCTCCTCGAGAACGACGACGATACCTTGTGGACGACGACGCAAAGAGACGTTCCAATCGGCAGACACTACAAACCCCCTTGTGTCGCGAGCAAATGAAACTCGCTCCTTTCTAAGAAGAGCGGGCCGCCTGCCGCTCCGAGATATAAACACCGAGCTCCCCTCAAATGTGCGGGAACTGTATGCACGTTCGTGCCACGACGGTGTGCGTGGAGTGCATCATCATGGCGTTCTGCGATGTCTCATGAAGGCACTATCATGTGATGGCGTCATTGGACAAGAGACAGGCGACCGGGTATTTGCGAACCCGTCCCAATTCTTTCTCACCAGCAGCATGATGTATCGCCAGAATAATGACAACGAGATCGCGCTGCCCATGCGGTTCAAGTGGCCACGTGGCGTTATTTATACCAACTTTGTCGATAATTAGTATGATTTGTCGACCACAATTGAAACTTTAGTATTTAGTTTTCAACATGCAATCCTTTATTCGCCGATAATGTCGTTGAGCGCATCTCGAAGAGCTAGGAGCATAGCCTCAGTATCGTGTTCATTGTCTATCGATGCATCTTCCAACATGCTTAGGGGGTGGTGTGAAGGGATAGCTTGGTGCAGCTGGGCCGCGTGTAGCATTGCCGTGACAGTGTCGTCATCGTTGCCTTGGGCCAACACCCCGTCCGCTTCGGAGAACAACACCCACTTCAGGTTGGTTGGCACGGCATTCTCGGCATTGTTGTCCAAGTACATGGCGCCTTGGTCTGCATGTTGACGACGAAATGATTGGCGAAACGATTTGAAGTTTTGGTATGCGCTGACGGTGGCAATCGTGGCAAGGACTAGCGTGAACTTCATGGCAAGTTGGAGACTGCGTGTGTGTACCCTGGCTTGTGGAAGTCGTCGAGGGTCAAACAAAAACGAACACTTCGAAAGAGCATGATGCCAAATGGACACGATTAGTTCGATTCGAATAGTACCCTTGCTCATGATTCGAGACTAAACTTATACAGTATGTATATTACGAAGGGTTGCAATTTATGGTCACGAGTTGTCGAGGGCGGTAAAAGTCGAATTTAATTAACGCTATAAACTTATGAAAGACATTCGTTCAATGAGATTGGCCAAGCAGGACGAGGCCGTCTACCGGTGGAGCAACCTCCACGAACGATCTTTGTATTCCGTGTGCAAGTAAGGTGAATAACCGAAGCAAAATGACAATCTTCAAATTGGAGGAGCCCCTCGTCGACAATCAGGTCGTCGCCCCTCTGAGCTAGTACCCCGTCGGAATCGGTGCAAGGAGCGCCGCGGGGGTCATGTGCCCAGGGGGGCGTGAACTGCTGGAGCTCGATCAGCTCGTACATAATACCACAATTCCCAAGCCACTGGACAAACGTTTCTCCAAGACAACCGCCGTCGCAACGGTATAACTTTTGATGGCATCTTGCTGTCCAAGTAAGTACCAGTCAAAGACTTGGGGGACCAGCATACAGTGTTCGTACGTTTAATCGGCTCGGGCGCCGTGGAATGACGAGACTTTAAGGCTTTTCTACCATCGACACTAACCCATTCAGTCCATGTAACCTGGCTATTGCTCAACGTGCTTAACACTGCTGCCGTTTCGTCAGCCGAGACTCAAACTCGTTGATCCTAATTTACTCTACAAGTGGATAGATAATTAGGAGTTACACGTGACTGCATCCACTAGAACAAAATAGGGTAATAAAAACAATGCATATTATTTGTGTACTCTGACGACCTCAACTCGTACAAGGGATTTACTGTTAGCATTATACTTCGAAGCATGTACTACGTAGTACACGCGGGGGTAGGACGAAGTCCCAGAAATTTAGCTTGAGTGAATCCCAGAAATTTAGCTTGAGTGAACGGTATTTTTCAGATAATTCTCAGGAGCGTCCAACAATGGCCGAATTTTATCACGATCCTGCAACTCGAGTATGGGACATTCCAAATCGTCCAGGCCACTTAAAACCGATGGCGTCTTATTCCACGGCGAAAAAATTGACTTCACTGGGAATCGAACCCAGGTCTCCTGCATACAGGCGCACTCCATTGCTCCACAACGTCGTGCTCTTGATTATGTTTCCATCGCGGCGATCGTTCTTGCCACCCGTTTACAGTATAACGTTACCTCTGTTTCATGAGCTGTAGAGTACCGGTAAAGTTGACCGACACCGCAGACGTGCATTATCGGTCGACGGTTGGTAGACATAACAGCTAACGTTAGGATAAACACGAGCACTGTGATATCATCAAAGTAGTATGATCCTCACCGTTGCCTCGATCGGCTTGTGTAGTCATGTCAGCTCCGTGTTTATACTGTTATTCAGTGGATTTGCTAGGAATTACTAGACGCCATGGGTTTTTTAAGTGACCTCGTCGTTTTACTCACTGTCAAGTGCTTTTTTAAAAGCACTTGACAGCACTTGACATTGGCTTTAAAAAAAGCCAATGAAATCAAGTTGGACGATTTAGACTAAAAACATGTCTCAAAGACCCGACTTGGACGATCGTGATAAATGCCGGCCATTATGGAAAATCTTGACATTTGTATCCCCTCTTAAGCAGTCTTGACATGTGCTCACGGTCAATTAATCATCTAATCCTCGTATTGCAATAATTGTGTAGGCAGACACTGTATACGTACAGAGTATCCGGATGTTGAACAACAGTTAAGTTTCCAAACACTGCGTTAAACCATAAAACGTGGCATTCCAAAGATTAGGCATGGGTAGTATATAGAAGTAAGTATGTAGAGGGCATCAGTACATCAGTATACCTACAGTACTAACAATAGTACTGTAGAAGAAAATAAAGTTGACATGTCGAACATTTCCACGTATTCTTCTAAATGAAGGTTGTACATTTGTCAAGCTCCCACTTCTACATGCATTTTCCAATTTGCCATGAAACTTGCGTTCGTTGTTGCACTTTGCGCCGCCAGCACTGCGTCCGCCGATCGCCAATGGTTGATCAACCATCACAAGCACGACACTGCTACTGCTCATTCGGCTGCTTCTCAATCTAGCCACCGCACGACGCACCCGTCGCCCGTGGCCCAACAACATCATTCGTCCACTCGAACCGAGCTACAAGATGGCATCGAAGCCTTCAACGGAGACAACAGTCCCCCGTTTCGCTCTGAGTTGACCGAGCCCGACTACGTCGACTCGCTTCTAGGATCTCTCGACGGCGGCATGCAAATCATCTCCAACGGACAATTGACGGATGCTGTGCAAAGCCACAGCAACCACGACGACCATCAGCTCCAGTGGGCAGTGTACTCTGAATCGGACGGTGTACTCGCGACGGGTCAAGACCCCGACACCCTCGACACCCTCCTCCTGGAGTCGGCCGACGAGGAAGAAGAAGATGACGTAAAGCCAATCGACCCCTGGCACGACACTGACGACAGTGTGTTCATGGGGACTGCCAAGCACCGAGGCAAAGGGCACACGAGGGGGGGGCTTATCAAGGCAGAACTTCTGGACGAAGGAAAGCACAAAGTGCACCGATATAACGAGCACCTTAACACGTTGTTGGAAGATGCCGGGCGCCGTCGCCGCCACTTTCGTCGCCACGACTCTCGCTCGTTGCTTCGCCAACTGCGTGATGCCATCAACGAGATTGTCGCCGACCAGAATTAACCAAGAAAGTAGTGGCTGTGTATTTTAAACTTGAACACAATTGTACATGCAATATACTTCAAGTAAGTGTGATGACGAATGATATGTGGCGGCATGGAAACCGCTGTACTGTAGTGACAGCAATAAGGCAATTCGTTGCAATACTGTAGAAGTACTGGTCCTTCCAGGGGCAAAAGGTGGAACGTTTCAGGGAAAACACCCAACCTGGAATTGCTTGATATCATACGTATACCGACTAGTACGGCCCTTCGCCTCAAAACCTTCAGCACAGTTAAGTTTGATTGCTTGGTCCATTACAGTAGCAATCTTGCACAATTCAGTGGAACTCTTCAGAGGCGTAATCATGAACTCGTCAAGATGAAACCGTTTTGAAACCGTTGGGCTCAAGACGGCCTTTTTCGAAGGGTTTGTGCATGTTATTGTACACGTCTCAGAAATGTTGTTGCGTCAAAGTCGAAGAAATGATATTCCAGGACAGTGAGGTTAACCTTCGGTCCGTCCTCAATCATGCTGTTCCAAATCGAACACGTACGTATAGCAGTCATAGAACTAGGTGAATTGCCAGTTTGTGATTTCCAAGCCCTCACAAACATCCGGTAATGCAGACCTTCGTCGCAGGCATCCTCTTGGCTAGTGTGGCTGTCCATGGCACTCAAGTTTACCAACCTGGCATCTTTATCTGCGATACGTGGAAGGCGTGGAAGTGTTTTGACGACCTCTTCACCCCCGTCCGGTGGAATGCGAACGGGTATGACGTCGAGTGCATGTCCGTGGATGGCATGACGTGTGTGACAACGCTGACGGTGAACGCGTGCTTGCAACTGAAAGCGCAACCGCCCACGGTGACCAAACCCATCGTGTGTCCATCCAATGTCGCAGCTGCAGAGGCAAGCGTTGTAGCGTGGTGCAAAACAGCCAAAGACCGGCTTAAGTACTTGGACCAAGTAACGAGCGAGTATCAGCCACGCTCCACCACGTTGTCCCCAACCACTGCACCCTCGTCACCTCCACGCGGCACTACCGCCACACCGTCGTCTTCTGCCACACCTGCGACCACTCCACCTTCTTCGGGCGCCCCAACCACGACGAAACCAGTCACATCGAACACAACGCCCAAGCCAACTTTGCCGTCTACCCCGCCCACGACGACCAACAAAACCCCAACCACCCAAAGCCCCGCAACGACCAAACCCAGTACGCCAGGTCCATATGTTGACCCTTCGAAACCATTCGCCTCGACTCTTGTCCCTACTACCCACAAGCCAACAAAACCGGTACATCCGACGTTTGGGCCATTCCCAAATACCGCCACACCTACCACCACGAAGGCTACGTCTGCCACACCTGCGCCTGCTACGACTAAACCGACCACGTCATCGCTTGCACCTACTACGACCAAATCTGTATCGTCAACTCCTGCACCTGCCACCACTAAGCCTACGTCGTCAACTCCATCACCCAGCACTACCCAGCCATCTTCGACTACCCACAAGCCAACAAAACCAGTACAGCCAACGTTCACACCACCTACCACCACGAAGCCTACGTCTGCCACACCTGCGCCTGCTACGACTAAACCGACCACGTCATCGCTTGCACCTACTACGACCAAATCTGTATCGTCAACTCCTGCACCTGCCACCACTAAGCCTACGTCGTCAACTCCATCACCCAGCACTACCCAGCCATCTTCGACTACCCACAAGCCAACAAAACCAGTACAGCCAACGTTCACACCACCTACCACCACGAAGCCTACGTCTGCCACACCTGCGCCTGCTACGACTAAACCGACCACGTCA